GACGTATGATGTAGTACGTACCATAAATCAAATTACAGTATACACAAAATATCCAAGACAGAAGTTATTTGCAAACAGCCAAACATTACCGAACGGTTTTGAGAGAAGTTTGCTGATAGACTTGTTGGTACCTGAGCTGCTGAAAAAATCAATCCTGGCCAAATTTACACAAATGCTTGGTGATATTCGGCTGTTTGCCAAAACTTTCTGACCGAGAAATCTTGCATTTGGTGTATGGCATATACTACTCCAATTGCTACAAACAAAATACATCCCATAATATAACTTTAATGTCTTAAAGTTGAATAAACTACTGTAAAATGCTTTATTTTCGCTTGGAATTAATTTTCGCTATTTTCACTGAAGGAATGATTCAGTGAAAATAAAATCCAGACCTTTTTTGCTATATTTTACATCTAAATCGTCAAAAATCAGTGGAAATATATTCTATACAAAACACCCATGAAGTCTTTTCAGCAAAATTAATTCCAGCTAAAATAAAGTAATCTCAGTAAAACAAACCTCAAGCGCTCCGAACGCCCCAGTTCTGCTCAGCATATCTCTGATGTAAATGATGATATTAATAAACGTATCCCACGGTAGGTATTGCTCTTCTTTTATCAGGTATAGTGTTAATTCAAATGCTATGGTTTGATACAGATCTCCTGAGCGTGCCAGGTTGAATGCGTCGTCGATAAGACCCGCTCTGTTAACGACTGGAATAACCTGCAAATTAAGCAAATATTTGTACTTATCAACACAATTGTCAAAAAAAAATAATAGAAAGATATGTAAAAACAGGCAAAATATTGAACCAAAATTTTGCTCAGAATAAATTCGGCACTCAAGGGTTAATGGAACTGGCATGGAAGTAGTAAAAAATAAAATGATTTAAAAGTATGGGGTATTTGAAAATCACATTCTACCAAACCATAACTTGAATTATGTTTTTTTTTTTTGTGCCAGGCGACAGTTATGAACATTGAGTGTCACTGTTGTCTCTCCTGACTTTTTTTTGTATGTGCAAATTACCTAGTGCATTTTTTCCACAGAAGTCATATTCATGTTTGGGTCTAACATGACAGGGCTGTGTGGCCATCTCTCTATCAAATGGCAATTTAATGTGCTATCCTGGCGTCAACCAGGCTCCGTCGAACACAAGCACCTGCAGATCTTAACCAAGGTTCCCCCAACGTCGCATTCGTTAGTGAATGAATCTCGGCCAGTGGAATTAGCCTTCCCATTGAGTCTGTGGCACACTCACCCAGGGTAAGGGTCAACCATTTTGATGTTCAGCCTGAGGTAGGATTTGAACTTGGGTCTACCGATCATGTGTCTGATGCGACAACCACTATGCTACCAGTGACCGGTTAACTTGAAATATGGTCTTTTATTCGGTAAAAATCAATTATTCAGAATATATAATCTAGGTTTTTTTACCAAACGATATTAAGTAAGGTCACTAAAGTTAATGACATGAACAAAACAGGGGCAACAAAATAAACAAAATTTATAAAAACAAGCAGCCTGTCTTGTGAGATAGCTTCGCTGTTAGCAATGCACATTTCAATTAAAGAACTGAAGATATCATTAGAAAATGAACAATATGTATAGTATCAAAGCAATCGGACTTGCTGTTTTCAACAAGAAATCTAAAATATCACTTTTTACCAAAAATGACAAAAATATTCACCAAAAATAGAGAAGTTGAGATTTTTACATGAAATGAACAAATCTCAGAAAGAACCATCCAAGGTACTTGTATATCAAATTTGAAAACATTCTGACTTGAGCTGAAAATGTAAAGTTGACGACGACGGACAATCAGTAATATGAACAGCTCCGCTGTGTCGAATTTGATTTTGCATTTAATAAATTTAGCTTTTTCAGTAATTATGTCATCATAGAAATCAATTATTGTTTTGTCTTGATGAATAAAATCATATTGCTGATTATTCATTTCTGCCAAAAAATTATGCAAATTAGCCACAAAATAACTTTTAAAATGCTTAAATGAATTCTACTACTGTAAAATACTTAATTTTCGCTTGTAATTAATTTTCGCTATTTTCACTGAAGGAATGATTCAGTGAAAATAAAATCCAGCAAATATACTTTTTTACCTATGTTTTACATTCAACTCATCAAAAATCAGTGAAATTAAACTCCATATAAAACACCCATAAAGTCTGTTCAGCGAAAATTAATTCCAGCTAAACTAAAGTATTTTACAGTATGACACAATATGACGTCTGTAGTGCTGATATTGGTAGCGCACATGATTAATCTGTCAGATTTATTCATTACGAGATGATATCTTCAATTCTTTATTTTTGCTGAATATTTTTGTCATTTTTGGTAAAAAATAAAGTTTTCGTAATACATACTTGATGGTCTTCAGACAACTGTTTTTGTAACGCAACCCAGTTACCCGTGTCGTAATTCACTCGGTAGTATCCAGTCTGATTGATATTGGCTAAGATCCAGTCGTTCGTTTCGGTTCCACTCGGCAATGAAATATCCACAGTCGCTGTTGATAAGAAAAACTTTTCGTCACGAATACGAGATATTGATGGAATGCCGAACAAAAAATAGTTTTTGCTTTTCGTCATTGCATGAATCATTATATACCGGTAATAAATATTGTAATATTTTGTTGTTGTTATGGTAACACAAACAAGTTTTAAAAAGAGTCACTGTAGCAGTTTCCAATTTTCCCTAGGATGAGAAGCAAAACTTTTTTTTTTGACTTAATCATAGAACATAATGCAAATCAAATCTTTGAGAGCTAACTTCAACACCATTCAGTTTCTATAATTCGTCTTTCACTATTTTAATATAAATCTATTTATTTATTTGTCTGAATTCAATGTTTTTGTGCATAATTAATTACATTAGTGACATAATTTCAAAACAAATGGCCTTTGTAAACAATTTTACGAATGTGTTCGAAAGT